ATTCCTTGAAGACCGAACGGGACTCTCTTCATGATGAGGTTGATGTCTTAAAAACCGAGAAGAGTGTAGCTTTGACAGAAAGGGACTCTCTCAAAGCCGGAAAGGGGGACCTTCAATGTTCATTCATTGCTGAACGGTTATCATATGCAAATTCCAAAGAAAAACTTCTGAACGAATGGTCTTCCCTGATGAACATGATCAGCAGAGTCGAAGGGGGAATGAGGGCTCTCCTTGTTCGCTTTACCAGGACCAGTGCCATCCATTATGCTGAAGGGTATAGAGACGGTTTTGTTGACCGTTCTCCCCCCAAAGGTGAATCAAGCTCTTGTGCTGGTCCTGATGTACTGGACGCTTCTCTGGACATCCACCCCCCAAACAACTATCAAAATCCACCATGCGACCCAGCCGAGAACATTTTTATTGAATGCATAGAGGTCACATCTTCAGGAATTGTCCCACCCTTTCACCCTTTGAACATTCTTCCCCTTTCTACCATCGTGCCATCTTCCTCCGTCGCTGCCGAAAGACCTATGCTTGCTGAGTGGGTGATTCATCTCGACTCCCCTTCTAAGGATGATAGGGCAGATGGAGATCTCGATAGTCCAGAGGGAGATGGTGGCGAGAACGACAAGCCACAGTCTGGAGAAGATCAGAATTGAGAGCCAATAGCATTTATTTATTTATTTATTTATTTTGAATCTGCATGTATGGTACTACGTACCTTGGGGCCTTTTTGGCTATGAATGATAATATCTTTGCTCAGTATCACTTTCCTCCATTGAGTTTTCTATTTTCAGCTTTGCAGTGTTGTTTTGTTTTTTCGTTTTGTTCGTTTTTTTTTTTTAACAAGTGTTTAGCGTTCGGCCATATCACCATTCTGTCCTTTCCTTACTCATTTTCTGAGCAAGTATTTGGCGTTCGGCTTTAAGTGCCAGCTGCCACAACTTGCTGAAAGCCTGGCGCTCGGCCTAAACGCCTCTTGCCACTTGGCTTTTTCAATTTCTGAGCAATTGTTTGGCGTTCAGCTTTAAGTGCCAGCTGCCACCAACTTGCTGAAAGCCTGGCGCTCGGCCTGAACGCCTCTTGCCACTTGGCTTTTTCATTTTCTGAGCAAGTGTTTGGCGTTCGGCTTTAAGTGCCAGCTGCCACTAACTTGCTGAAAGCCTGGCGCTCGGCCTGAACGCCTCTTGCCATTTGGCTTTTTCATTTTCTGAGCAAGTGTTTGGCATTCGGCTTTAAGTGCCAGCTGCCACTAACTTGCTGAAAGCCTGGCGCTCGGCCTGAACGCCTCTTGCCACTTAGTTTTTTTAATTTCTGAGCAAGTGTTTGGCGTTCGGCTTTAAGTGCCAGCTGCCACCAACTTGCTGAAAGCCTGGCGCTCGGCCTGAACGCCTCTTGCCACTTGGCTTTTTCATTTTCTGAGCAAGTGTTTGGCGTTCGGCTTTAAGTGCCAGCTGCCACTAACTTGTTGATGGCGCTCGGCTTGAACGCCTTTTGCCACTTGGCTTTTTCAATTTCTGAGCAAGTGTTTAGCGTTCGGCTTTAAGTGCCAGCTGCCACTAACTTGCTGAAAGCCTGGCACTCGGCCTGAACGCCTCTTGCCACTTGGCTTTTTCAATTTCTGAGCAAGTGTTTGGCGTTCGGCTTTAAGTGCCAGCTGCCACTAACTTGCTGAATGGGAAGGGTGTAGATTTTTAACAAAGAAGAGGCTTTTTATAAAGCATGGAAATTTCGTACACTTTCAAGCATACAATTCAGAACGTACAATATGCTTGAAATTATACTCTACTTTTACTGGTAGTACCTTTTCAGAGACATAGCATTCCATGGCTTATTGACTACCCTTCCTGTCATAGTTTCTAGGACGTATGCCCCCTTCCCAATGACTTCTGCTATTCTGTACGGACCTTCCTATGGGGAGAACATCTTTTTGACTATTCCCACCTTCCTTTTCAGAACCAGATCGCCAGGAGCGAAACCTCTGTGCCTCACCTTCTTGTTATGGCTATTCACGAGCGTCTGTTGATAAGATGCGAGCCTCACTGCAGCCGCATCCCTTTTTTCTTCCAATAAATCAAGATTGAACCTCAGCATTCTATCATTCTGCTCTTGATCCCATACCAAGCTCCTTACAGTTGGAACCAAATGCTCGACTGGTATCACCGCCTCGGTGCCATAGGCTATAGCGAATGGGCTCTCACCAGTTGGCCGTCTTGGGGTTGTTCTGTAAGCTAACAAGACGTTCGGTAGCTCATCCAACCATTTGCCTTTTTCATTCTCCAGCTTTTTCTTGATACAAGCAGATATTGTCCTGTTTGTGATTTCGGCTTCACCAATAGCCTGAGGATGACTGACTGCTGCTAACTTTTGATTGATTCCATATTCCTCTAGCAGCTCTCTCACTTGCTTGCTATCGAGGTTGGTTCCATTGTCCATCACGATTGACCTTGGTATGCCAAAATGACAGATAATATTATTCCAGATGAAGCGTCTTACTTGAGTTTGGGTGACACTAGGGTATGGCTCCGCTTCTACCCATTTGGTGAAGTAATCAGTAGCTAGTAGAATGTACTTATTCTACGATCTTGCAATCGGCAAAGGGCCAACCACGTCCATCCCCTACTGCGCGAAAGGCCATGGGGTGGCCATTACGTGCAGGTCTTCAGGTGGTTGATGTATCAATGACCCGAACCTCTGGCATTTATCGCATCTTCTAGAGAATTCTTCTGCATCTCGTGCCATGTTCGGCCAGAAGTACCCCTGTGTCATTGCTTTGTGTGCTAAAGATCTTCCTCCGGAGTGATTTCCGCATACTCCCTCGTGAATGGTTCGCATAATCTGCCTAGCTTTTGTAGGGGTAGCACACTTCAAATATGGACTCGAGAAGGAGCGTCTATATAACTAACCGTGCACAATGGCATACTTTGCTGCGCTGGACCTAATTCTTCTTGCCTCGTCCTTACACTCGGGGAGTGTACCACTACGTATGTAAGCCATGATTAGATCAATCCAGCTCGGCTCATATGGTATGACATTAACATGTTGAGTGCTCGGATCAGGCAATTCTTAAAAAATGGAAGGTTGGATCAGTATGTCGACCGGGATGACCCTAGCTAAAGTATCTCCAGAATTGGATGCGCTACAAGCCAAGCGATCGGCATCTTCGTTATACTCTCTTGATAACTGGATAAACCTGATCTGATCAAAGACTTTCGCCTCACGTAGAACCGCAGTTCGGTATGCTTCCATAGTCTCATCCTTGGCTCCATAGTCCCCATTGACTTGTCGAATGACTAGTTGCGAGTCATTATAAGCCATCAGATTCTTGATCTTCAATTCCTTAGCCAACTTTAACCCGGCTATCAGCGCCTCGTATTCTGCCTCATTGTTGGTCGCGCTGAACTCTAGTCTTATCGCTTGGCTCCGCATAGTTCCTTCTGGTGTTTGCAATTGAATTCCAATCGCGGCCCCCATTTGATTCGAGGAGCCGTCCACGAAAGGCTTCCACCAAGAACAATTACAATCCTCCACCGTATCTTCATCATCACAGTTAAGTAGGAAATCCGCCACCGCTTGACCTTTGATTGTCGTCCTGGCCTCGTATGTGATATCAAATGAACTCAATTCAATGGCCCACTTATTCATTCTCCCCGACAGGTCCGGTTTGTGCAGGATCATTCTCAAAGGGAAAGTTATTAAAACGACGATTGGGTGAGATTCAAAATAGTGTCTAAGCTTCCTTTTTGCGTTGACCAGCGACAAGATCATTCGTTCGGCCCTAGAGTATCTTCTCTCTGGTTCAGACATTGTCTTGCTAACATAAAACACCTGGAACTGCTTGCCCTCTTTACAACGGATCAGAACGGCACTGGTTGCTATGCTGGACACCCCGAGATATAGAAAAAGTCTCTCATTCGGTTCTGGAGCAGACAGAACCGGGGGATTACGCATGTACTCCTTCAGGCTGGTTAGTGCCTGCCGTTGTTCATCCCCCCAGGTTTGCCTTTCCATGCCCTCGTATTGTATTCAAGAAAGGTTTACAGTGGTCCGAAAGCTTGGAAATAAATCGGCTCAGTGCGGCTATTCTGCCTGTGCTGGGCTGACCTCAATTCCTCTATGATTGACCAGATGTCCCAGGAATTGACTGGAGCTTACACCGAATGAGCACTTGGCCGGATTGAGCTTCATCGCATACTGGCGTAACACATCGAACACATCTTACAGGTGCGCTAAATGATCGCTCTTCTTCTTACTCTTGACCACCATATTATCAATGTAAGCCTCGATAGTGCTGCCCATTTGGCCCTTAAAAATCTTGCTGATCAGCCTTTGATAAGTGGCTCCAGCGTTTTTCAATCCGAATGGCATGACTTTATAGCAATAAGTCCCTCGTTCAGTAATAAATGAAGTCTTCTCTTCATCAACTGGATCCATAGGAATTTGGTTATAACCGAAATAAGCATCCAGGAAAGTTAACCGCTCATATCTTGTGGTGGCATTTACCTTTTGATCAATCCTGGGCAATAGGAAACTATCCTTTGGGCAGGCTTTGTTTAGGTTGGTGAAGTCAATGCATACTCTCTATTTTCCATTCTTCTTCTGCACTACAACAACATTAGAGAGCCAGGCCGGGTACTGAACTTCTCTGATGAATCCGGCTTTAAGCAGCTAATCAACCTCCTCAGCTATAATCTGGTTTCGTTCTGGAGCAAATCTTCTCTGCTTCTGCTTTACTGGCTTTGCATTCGGATCCACATTAAGGGAATGACAGGATACAGCAGGATTTATCCCTGGCATATCTGAATAGCTCCATGCGAATACATCCGCATTCCGAATTAGGAAATTAGTCAACTCTAGTCTCTCTTCTTCAGTGAGTTTGGTGCCCACCCTTGTTGTTCAGTCTGGTTTTGCACGATGAATCTTCGCTTCATGAAGGGGTTCTGTGGTTAGAACTGGCGGCTCCTCCCCCCATCCTTGCTGTGAGAAGGGTTCTGTAATTGCTATTTTGGAATGGCAGAACGGGTGGGATTTTTCCCTTTTCCAGCAGATTTTAAAGTTATTGAATAACATTCTTTAGCCGCAACCTGGTCCCCATGTATATCTATCACCTTGGTCCCATCCGGACCTAAACATCGCATCACTTGATGTAAGGTTGATGGAACGCCCTGAATTCTGTGAATCCATCCTCTGCCCATCAAGAGGTTGTATGATGGATAAATTTCCACTACCACGAAACTTTCAGTCAGAACTCGCTCAGCGGCTTGTACTGTCAATTCTACTATTCCAATGGGTTCCACTCGCTTCCCATCAAATCCGAGTAGCGGATTCCCTGTGGATTTGAGTTTTTCGGGTGCGATCTCCAGTCGGTCGAACGTCACCCTGGGCATGACATTCGCACTACTTCCTGGATCAATCAGGACTCTCCGAACCAGGCATTCTGCAATCGTCAGACTGACGACTAGTGGATCTTCATGAGGAATCTGAACGCGTAGCAGGTTCGTTTTATCAAACTTTATCGATGTGGACGCGTTCTGCTGGTGTAAAGCATGCACACTGCCAATTCTCCTTTTTAGCTGGGCCTGGCGTAACCTTGTCCTGAGTAACTCCTCTGACTCCGTCATTTGCTCAGGCCGACCATGAATTGCGTTTATAATCCTGACAGGTTGGGAGTTGTGTTGGTTTGGCCTCTGGTTCCGCTTGATTTGCTCAGTCGGGCGATTATGCTCTTGCGCCGAACCCTGGACATAGCTTGCAAACTCTCCCTTTACGATCAGCATCTCTACCTGCCTCCTTAGGTTCCTGCATTCGTTAGTCTGATGCCCAAAATCACTATGGAAAGCACAATGTTTAGTCTGATCTCTCTGTTCAAGAGGTTGCCTGATTGGCAGAGGAGGACGAAACTTATCTTTGTTCTCCTGGTATAGCCTTGCTAAAGTGACTCTAAGTGGAGTGACTAATTCCTCCTCCCTGGGTCTCTTCTCTGCCTTCCATGAGGATTGACGTTGCGGTTGAGCTTGTTTTTGCCGGATCTTGGCTTTGGACTTTTCCTCCGTCGAAATAATTAACGTCTTCCTTGAATTAGCTGCTTCTTCCTCCTCAAGGCGAACAAAACCATCAGCTCTCTCGTTCAGCTCGTCCATTGTCTTTGGCGTATTAACCACCAAGCTGGTATGGAACGGCGTCCCCCGGTTCATTGCGAGTTTAAATGCTTGGACTGCTGTGGATGGGTGGCACTCCATTACCATGCTCTTAACGAGGTTGAACTGGGTGAGAAAAGCTTGGAGCCGTTCATCCTCATGCTACTTCTTTGTAAAAAGGCTCGATACATCCTTAGCCGGACGCTTATTCCCGTAATACTGGCTTATGAACTTATCGCATAAGTCCTGGAAACTGGCGATTGAGCCTTGAGCCAAATTCTTGAACCAATTGAGAGCTGGTCCAGCCGGGCTCGTTGGGAAACACTTGCACATCAAAGGATCATTATTAGTATTCAAAGCCATTTTTAACTGAATATGGTACATGTGATCGATCGGATCAGTTGTTCCGTCAAACAGAATGAAGATCGGCATGGAAAACTTCTTCGGATTCGGCGCGTTCAGAATTTCATCAGTGAACGGCGATGCGACCGTCCTTGCTGAGGAACGCAATGCTTCGTTTTCTCTTGAAAATCATGACGGAAATCCTCGATCGGCAGATCTCCTTTCCGAGCTATTGTAATCAACTGTCGCTAATGAAGGTCGGTATGGCGGATCGAACGGCCTATCCTCCTCAAATTCACTCCGCCATGGTGACGCAACCCGATGTTCATACGTTGGTGCTTCCTCCCTCATAATCCGTTTGTGATGCGGTTCTAGACGAACAGATCCTTCCCGATCTTCTACTCTGCCGGCATTCGGAGGCAGATTACCGATTATATCTTCATCATGACGTAAACCACCACGGTTGACGTCTTCAAGATCACCTTGACGATCAGCTTCAGACGGTAAAGCTCCCTCTCCTTCAGGAGGTGGCCTCAGAATTGCAAGAGTGTGATACCCCTCGAATCCGAGACACGGGTTGATCAGGCCCAGGCCCAAACCCGAGGGATATCAAACAATTAATATTTTAAATCAAACACGGAATACAAAATTTATTTAAGAAATACAAATAATAGAAGCTGAAAGGAACTAAAATAATATCCTTAAAATAAATATCCAAAACTGATAATCCAAATCTCCATAAGTTTACAACTTGGGAATCCATCAATTGGACCCCTTATTAAACTTCTCAATCCGAAACTGAAATAACAGAAATAAAACTAAAGCTAACATAAAGTAGATCCCTACGTAGTGGGAGGAATGAGTAGCTGTATCGGCTCTGCACGTCCAAGCTCTAACCCTGGAACTGACGAACACCTGAAAAATAAAGGAGTGGGTCAGGCCCACATGCAAGTCCTGATCTACTACAATCTAAACAGTAATCCGATACGCAGATACATCCTAGGAAGACCCAACAATATCTAGAGTAGTCCATATCTATATAGTACACACTAATAGGACGCTCGCTAGTCCAACAGGTTTGTCTCAGCCTGAATAGATGGCAACATGCGAATACGCACCCTAAGGTGGGCATGAGTACCTAGACCAACCAGAGAACAACACATATGTCCAGTTATCCATCCTAGGCAATATACGTGCCCTAACTATGGTCCTGAGACTCAAACTCATACCATAGTACCATAAAATACATATATAAAATCCATACTCCTCCTAATACAAAATACCATCCAACTTTGTAACAGTTTGATATATTGTATAACAAATCCATCCTGAACCCATAGTAGTTCATTCAATTCTCAATTGATATGACCCATGTAGGTGATGGACCTAACCCATATGGTTAATCCATACCTTAATCCAAATTAGGTAGGACTTAGTGTTTGTACTAATCCATACGTAGTATGCCACCGTCCCATACCGGTGCATACAATCCTTCAGTTCCATAGTTAATAACACAGCATAAACATGTATCAACTAATTTCCAAAAGAAACATAAATATAGTTTAACATATTTACAACCAATTTATGCATCCAATATACCATTTAAATATTACATTACAGTGCTTTATATATATATGAAAAGACTGTACATGTAGTTCCTCCAGTTAATATAGTTGACGGAACAGTAATAAATACCAATCCACTATACTTCAAGATTTGCATATAAATAGTTTAACATGTGTACAACACATTAATCATCCTACATAAGGTTTAGAAATCCCTTTCCAGTCCCATTTTATTAAGTAAGACTGAAACCTACCACTCCTCCTGCACAACCATATCTGATGCAATAGTTGATAAATTTAAAACATCCATTAATTCCATTTAAGCATACTTAATCTTCTAGATAGATAAACATATGCTTATAACATAGTTGAACATGCTTGATAAATTTAAACATGCAAAAGAACCCAAAACTTTGCTCAAAGCAGTAAACAGTTTACAAAGATTTCAAAGACAACTTCATATATGCAGTTTCTTCGTTTAACCTTAGGTTGCTTCAAGGTTCAACACAATACCATTAACAATACTTCCAACCATTTTTACATCTCTGGAACTATTATACAACCCAATTTTACCCTCTGAAACAACCCAGTCATCTTCCCATAGGTCCAAAAACAACCCACTATCACGCAAAAGCAAGAAAAGAAGTTGGAGCCGCCTCCAGAATATTAGAGCCGCCTCCCTTCTTGGTGGAGCCGGCTCCTCCCTTATTGGAGCCGGCTCTACCCTTGTGGAGCCGGCTCCAATCCCTTGTGGAGCCGGCTCTCACACCCCCTAGAGCCGGCTCCCTCCTTTGGTGAGCCGGCTCTCCTCCTTTGAGAGCCGTAATTCCTTCTCTGGTTGTCTTCCTCGCCTCCGGCTAAGTTCAAAACCTATTTAGTATTTTAAAACCTTGTACCAGTGTTTATACACTATCCTAGATTATATGAGAAACCCCCCAACATGCATCAATAATCCCAATTAACCAAGCTTGAACCCAAGACACAGCATGCATCAATTCACAGTTCTTTAAAAATTTGCACAGTTTGATTCACGAGATTTATTTCCGTTTGAACATGCATACAAGATAAATTTAATCATTAATCTATTTTTAACCTTGGTTTAATCCTTAGAGTCTTTCTAGGCTTGTGTAGAACACAGATTAAAGAGATAGAGTGGAAACAGAGCTTGCCATTAGTTTCAGACTGTGGAACTGCAGACCTCTGTCAACTCTGGCAACGATGGTTGTCTTAACTCCCTCTGCTGCTCCTAATTCAATCACCAACCTTCTCCTTCAATTCTTCCTTCAATCCTCAAAGGTTCTCTCTGAAACTCTCTACAACTCTCTGTTTTTCCCTCTTTGAAAACCTGATACGTGAATGCAGGTTGTGTGATGTTTGTTTACTAAACCCTAAACCCACATGAAGAAATATATTTATAGGCTTAATTCTCCAACCCTAATCCGTATATAGCTAGAGCCCTAATGCAAACACTTAGTCGGCCCATGCAATTGTCCAAGTTACAGTACACGGCGACTTAATACAACCTAGGTCGGCTACAGTAACTCCAACCCTGACATATACGTAAATCAACTTAATTATATAATTTAACGTTTAAATAACTTCCACAGAAATATAATCCTAATCTAAAATAAATTAACATTTAACTTAACCCAATTCAAAATAATCCAATAACAAAAACAATAATATTAATAAAAGAAAACAATTAATTCAAATAAAAGGACAAACAAGCAGATAATCAATTATCAAACAAATAATCCAATAAAATGACACATAATAAAATAAAATGCAATTAAATACAATAATTAAATTCCAGAACTGTCCTTTTAAAATTAGGGGTATTACATTCTTCCCCCCTAACAAAAGGAATTCCGTCCTCGGAATTCGCTCTTACCTTCTTCCAGTAATCCAGGAAACTGCGAGCGAATGACATCCTCCCGTTCCCAAGTGGATTCAGCTTCATTGTGATAACTCCACTGCACACAAACTAAAGGAATAACCTTATTACGAAAGATCTGATCCCGACGGTCGACAATACGATACGGTAGCTCCACATAAGTTGCATCCGGCTGCAACTCAATCTCCCCTATATCGATATGCTGGTACCGATCCTCATCTCGCAGAAATTTTCGCAACATGGAAACATGAAACACGTTGTGCACGCGATCCAAATTATCCGGAAGTGCCAACCTATAAGCAACCGCTCCAACGCGATCCGTGATCATGAATGGACCAACAAATCGTGGTGACAACTTCCCTTTCTTCCCAAAGCGCATAACACCTTTCATGGGTGACACTTTGAGTAGAACCTGATCTCCAACCCTAAATTCCAAAGCACGAGTACGCCGATCCGCATAACTCTTCTGCTTACTCTGAGCGGTACTCATGCGATCCCGAATAAGAGCAACTTTCTCAGAAGTATCCTTAATAAACTCAGGACCCAAGAATCTGCTCTCTCTAACCTCTATCCAACAAATAGGCGATCGACATGGTCGACCGTATAGTGCCTCAAATGGTGTCATACCAATAGTCTTCTGGAAACTATTATTATACGCGAATTCCACAAGTGGCAAGTACTCCTCCCAGTGGCCCTTGAAATCAAGAACACAGGACCGAAGCATATCCTCCATGATCTGATTTACCCTCTCAGTTTGTCCATCAGTCTGAGGATGATAAGCAGTGCTAAGATGCAACTCTGTACCCAAAGCCTGCTGAAAATTCTTCCAAAATCCAGACACAAAACTTGAATCCCTGTCTGATATAATTGACAACGGAATACCGTGTAACTTCACAACCTCAGAAATGTAAAGCCTCGCCAACTGCTCTGAAGTATAGTCAGTGCAAATAGGCAAGAAGTGAGCTGACTTCATCAACCTATCCACAATGACCCAAATAGAGTTATGACACCTGTATGAATTGGGTAATCCCTCCACAAAATCCATAAAGATGCTCTCCCATTTCCACTCCGGTATTGGTAATAGCTGTAGAGCTCTTGGCAGTCTTTGATGATCAATCTTGACCATCTGACAAGTACTACACCGAAAGACAAATAAAGCAATATCCCTCTTCATACCAACCCACCAAAACTGCCACTTCATATCCTGATACATCTTGTCTCCTCCGGGATGAACAGAAAACTCAGAATGATGAGTCTTAGTCATCACGTCCTTCCTCAAATCATCAGTAGAAGGTACCGCTAAACGT